AGCAGCAGCCAGAACACTGGTACATTATCAACACCTTTCTAGCTACCAATACACAGCACAGCGCTGTGAGGGCTGCTATGGGGAAAATTAACTCCATCTCAGCCAGACCCTAGACAACCTCCAACCCTTATTCCATACCATCTGGATCATGCTCAGATCCCACATGATTTTATACATATACACACACTCAGTGCCGTGTTTCTTTGCCCATGAATTTATTAGGTTATTTTAGAAATGACTCCCATTATCTGGGCACCACGCTGGGTGCCAAAACAGGACTGTGATGGGTTGACCCTGGCTGGACACCAGGTGCCCACCAAAGCTGGTCCATCACTCCCGCTCTTCAGCTGGATCAAGAAAGAAAATACAATTAAAGGCTCATGGGACAAGATAAGGACAGTGACAGATCATTCACCAATTACCATCACAGGCAAAACAGACCCAACTTGGGGAAATTAATTTAATGTATTGCCAGTTAAATCAGAGTAGGGTAATGAGAAATAAAAAACAAATCTTAAAACGCACACACACACCCCCACCTCCCTTCTTCCAAGGTTTAACTTTACTCCCACTTTCTCTACCTCCTCCCCTCCAGCGGTACAGGGAGATGACGAATGGGGGCTGCGGTCACTTCATCACACCCTGTTTCTGACACTCCTTCCTCCTCAGGGGAGGACTCCTCACACTCTTCCCCTGCTCCAGCATGGGCTCCCTCCCATGGGAGACAGTCCTCCATGAGCTTCTCCAATGTGAGTCCTTCCCCTGGGCTGCAGTTCTTCACAGACTGCTCCAGTGTGGGTCCCCCACAGGGTCACAGGTCCTGCCAGCAAACTTGCTCCAGTGTGGGCTCCTCTCTCCATGGGCCCACAGGTCCTGCCAGGAGCCTGCTCCAACGTGGGCTTCCCACAGGGTCCCAGCCTCCTTCAGGCATTCACCTGCTCCGGTGTGGGGTCCTCCATGGGCTGCAGGTGGGCATCTGCTCCACCATTAACCTCCAAGGGCTGCAGGAGACACCCTGCCTCACCATGGTCTTCATCATGGGTTAAAGGGGAATCTCTGCTCCAGGACCTAGAGCACCTCCTCCCCCTCCTTCACAGACCCGAGCGTCTGCAGAGCTGTTTCTCTCACACAGTCTCACTCTTCTCTCCCTCTGCAATTTTCTCTTGCATAGTATTTTTTTCCCACTTCTTAAATACGTTACCCCAAAGGTGCTACCACCATCACTGATGGGCTCAGCCTTGGCCAGCGGTGGGTCCATCCTGGAGCCGGGTGGCATTGGCTCTGTCAGACATGGGGGAAGCTTCTGGCATCTTCTCACAGAAGCCACCCCTGTAGTGCCCTCACTACCAAAACTTTGTCATGCAAACCCAATAAAAGATCAAAGGAAGACTACGCCATATCCTAGAAATAATGGCTATAATTTATTCATTCTTGAAAATTTCCAGGTGTAACATTATTCACTTAATCATAAAATAGGAAGAGTGCCAATTAATACAATGAAGTATATCAGAGTAATGAGCAAAAACAGAATAGGACTGACCACCTCATCCAGCCATTTTTTGACCAAAAAAATTTATTTTTATCTCAGTTTCAAAAGAGAAATCAGCAGTAAAACACAACTGTAGAAAGAAAAAGAGTTTCCTAATAGACAGCTCTGCTGAGGGCGATGCGGGCAAATACTTTTTGCAAAAATCAGACTGCATCAGATGGCTGTTGCTGAACAACTATCAAGGAGATAATGGTGCTTTATCTGCTATTTGGGTTATTCTTGGATTTGGTTTGCTTGCAACACAAAAGTAACAAAACTTAGTCACTTTTGGCTCTGGGAGATCTCACTGAAGTTCCTAGGCCAGCTCTCCAAGATTCAGTGGCTTCTCTTTGGGCAAAGACATGTATGTGACTGTAACGTGGGAAGGAAGCACATCACAGGGTATTCCACAACCAACAGGTTCCTCAATAAGGTTCTGACAAAGCTTCTTGTGGCCTGAGGAAATTAGATTGTTCAAATCCTGTTTCCTGGAATTGAAAGAAACTGTGTTATAGACATGTGGTCCACAGTATGCATGGAACCACTGTTCTTTCCACCACAAATGAGTCCCTAAGCCTTTGCACACAGGTAAAGTCTCTGGTATGCAAAGCCAAAAGCTACTATAAATACAATTGCAAGCACAGAAAACAATGGCAGTGCCCTAACATGCTGAAATATCAGGGAGTTTGTTGGAAAAAATGTGCCTAGAGAATTCTTGGAGGCACATAAGGAAGAGCAAGCAGGGGACCAAATACCAAAGGCCCGTTTGGTCAAGGAGAAGAGCACAGACAACCACACGCACATGTACCCCATGTCATACTTCAAAAGAGAACACTGAGCATAGTTAGTAAATTTTAGTGATTTAACCTAGACTTGTGCAGGACTGACCTATGATCTCTTCACTGTACTACTCCTGGACCACATCCCAATACTCCTATGATATACTAGGAATTTTTTTCCACTATCCACTGTAACCAAACTGCATCCCTCCACTACTGCAGGTAACAGTGCATATTCTGAACAATACATAAACATTTTAAAATGTTAAGTTTATCTACTTTAATCTCTTATCATTCCAACTGTTAATTTCTTACAGTAAAAGCTAACACTTTTGAAGCACAAAACACACCTACCTTTACCAATGATTCAGAATGGTTTAGCAATAAGCAGCTCAGAAGCAAATGCAGCAACTGAAAACATATCCTGGGATCCAAATTCAAAAACTTTTGCACCAAGCAAAACCACTCATGATGTGATTCAGACAGAAAACTTTTCAGCCACTCAGTGGACCTTACAGTCACTCCCAAAAAACAAAGTACAATACTTTCCCTACTTATAGCATACACATCCTGGTTAACTGTTAGTGAAAGCAAATTTATGGTACAGTAATTTAAAACCACAGGAAACACACACCTGACTGTATGGGAATGTGAAGAAATTAAGTATTTTGTTTTGCTTGATCTGTATGGAAAAAAAAAACATATATTTAACATAAGCTCCTCTGTCAAACAGTGCTGAGTTCCCTTAGCCAAAGGCCCACACCAGCCAGGGAATTTATGCAGCAGAAAGTCTTTGTCCATAACACGGGGTATGCTGTTTCCCTTCAGTATGCCAGGTAAACTCACGGCAGATGGAGAAGACTAAAGGTTTTCTCTCTCCATTCTGAATTTAATGGGAGCACATGCCCAGCCCCTGCCCCTCCAACAGGCTGCACATGGACCTTGTGTTTTCCACATGCATCCTGAAAAGGGAAGATGGCTTTCAAACCCCACTCCTCTAAAATGGCCCCAGCTGAAAACTGCAGCCATATCTGGGAGTGCAGTTCAGTTACATGACCTCTCTCTGCCTTCCCGTGTTCCCCTCAGCACTTACCACTATTATATATGGTTCTGTGGCCTTAGTTCTCTGATGACATGCTGCTACAAACATAAGCAGGACCTTACAAAGCCAAAGAGAGCAAAGGCAGTCTGAGGTTTGAAGCTGAGAGTCAGGATCTGAACAGGACAAGAATCTGGGAAAGGTCAAGAAAACTCTACGAAAAAACCCACTTTCTGTAAATGTTATCCTTAAATACAGTCATCTCTCATAAAGGCAGCCTATTTTTTCAAGAGTTATAATTGGTAAGTGCTTTCCCAAAGTTTCTCATGGAAGGTGCTGCAGGAATGGCTTCACAAAGGCATCGCTGCAGGCCAAACACCATTCTTGTAGTGAGAGGAATAAAGTTGAGGGCTGACTCAGTGAAAAGCCTTGCAGAAGAGCAGTGAAACAGCAAGAAGCAGGTCTGTCAGTAACCAAAGTGAGAAGCACTAAAGCACTCATACAGCCCAGTGAGGTAAGAGAAGAGGAGGACAAAAGAAAAAAATAATTTCTTTGTGGACTGCAATGACAGAAGGAACCAAAAGATTATTCTGCCAGACATCTGGTATAAGACAGGTCACAAATTCAGGAAGCACCTCTGCATTGACAGCCTTTATGTCTTCAGCTAAAATGTAAACCATCCAGCCTTGATGCAAAGACAGAGAGCCCAGAACTTCATCAGCTATGTTGTTCCAAGTGTTAGTTATAAACACACCGACTTTTAAATCTATGCCTCAATTATAATCTAAATTTGTCTGGCTCCAGCTTTCAACCACTGGGTTTTGGATTTTTTTTTTTAAGCCCTTTTGTGCTGCACTCTGAAAAACTCTCTAGAAATCAGTATTTCATTCTCAGCCCCCAAAATCTAGCTCCCAGGATCAAGTAATTTTGTCATCTTATGTCAGTCTCTAGCAGTACGCCATAGCAAGATCACAGAACCGCTGGAAGTCTCTCTGTAGGAAATAGTTTCCAGACCTCCTGGTGAGGAATCATTGCTGTAACAGCACCAGCAACAGAACTCTAGCAGGAATAGAATTAAAGATCTCCTGGGAAAAAAAAAGGCCCAATCCTGCATGGTTTCGCACACTCTTCCCTGCACCGGTCAGCACACGGCACTTTGCAAGGTCAGTCTTAAACAGCTGAATTCAGCAACCTTAAGTGCGGCGGCAGCAATAGGGAGCCAAACCCTAGTGACCCTTCTCCTTCTGTGTAAGCGAGCGGGTTCCCCCTCGCACTCCGGGAGCTCGGGCAGGAGCTGTCACGCCTCGCTCCGGTCTCCGCGGCAGCGCAGGGGCTGAACGCGAGCCCCGACCCGGCGGCGGCCCCTCGGCGAGGCGGGCGAGGCTCTGCCGCACCCCGGCCGGGCACCGGCACAACTTCAGCGCAGCCTCTCCAAACCCGCGCCCCTCGAAAGTGGCTTTAAAAAGTAACCGCCGGCCCGCGAGCGGGCGGCGGCTTCGGCGCCAGGGCAGAGCCCGGCCGTGGGGCTGCCCCGCGGGGGAGCAACCCCGACGGGGCGGCTCTCCGCCCGCCCGGGGGGGAGGCCGCCGCGGGCCCGGCCCCTGCGCGGCGAGCGGGGCCCGGCGCGTCCCTCCCCCGGCCTTGACGCCAGCGCGCTAATGAAATGCTAATGCCGGGGCGCGGAGCCGGGCGCTGCCCGCCGCCAATAAAACCCGGCGCGGCGCGGGGGGCCCTGCCCGCCGCCAGCCCGCCGCGATGCAGAGCGCGACCCCCAGCCGCCCCGCCGGCTCTGCACCTCCTCACCTCTTACTTCATCGACAGCATCCTGGGCCGGGGCCCGGCCGGGGGGCGGCACGGTGAGGGGCGGCGGGGGGGGCCTGGGGGGGGGTGCGGCGGGGCGCTGGGCGCTCGCCTCGGTAACTCCCCGCTTCTCTCCCCTCAGGCGAGGCGCGCGCGGCGCCCCCGCCGCGGCCTGGCCGAGCGCGCGCCCCCGCCGGGGAGCCCGGGGCGGCGGAGCGAGGCGGGCGGGCGGGCGGCGCGGCGGCGGCGGCTCCGGGGAAGAGGAAGCAGCGGCGGTACCGCACCACCTTCAGCACCTTCCAGCTGGAGGAGCTGGAGCGCGCCTTCCGCAAGTCCCACTACCCCGACGTGTTCACCAGGTAGCGGCCGCCGGCGGGAGCGGAGCGGGGCGGGCGGCGGCGGGAGGGAGGGTGCGCCGGGCCGGCAGCGCGGCGGCTAACGGTGTGCTGCCCCCGCAGAGAGGAGCTGGCCCTGCGCCTGGACCTGACGGAAGCCCGGGTGCAGGTGAGTGCCGGGGGGCGGCCGCGGAGCCGCTAGTGCCGAGGGACCGACCCTCCCGCCGCGGCGTCCCTGGGGCCGCGGGCCGAGTTTCAAACCCACCCCGCGAGGGCTGGGGGCGGCCGGTTGGAAGTGACGCTCTGTCCCCCCCCCTTCCTCAGCTGGGCCGGCCGGGAGTAGCAGAGGGGGGACGCAGGAGGCCGGGGGTGCAGCGTGCCGCCCGCCTCGGGTAGTTCTGAGAGGATGGAGAAACTGCCAAGTTCCCTCAGCGCTGGGAAAGCAAACCGCGGCTTAAAAACCTTCCCCGATTGCACTTCACGCTCACAGTGGCAGCCGGCTTCATGGGGCTAAAGGCAGGTACTGTCTCCTGAGTTCTGAGATCATAAACAACGGTATATACATAAAAAAAAAAATCAGTTGCTTTACAGCAAATGAGGTTTCTGTGGGCCATCCTAAGTTATTTACCTAAGCTTCAGAGAAGCTTACACCCTTTTCTTGCTCTAACTTAGCTCAATAAAACAGTCGCACTTCTAAATGACTGGTTAAAACAAATAAAAGATTATTCTGACATTCATATGACAGGTGCTGTCCAGGAGAATTTTATGGCCTAGATGGGCTGCAATAATAGCAATGTCCATAGAACTTCAGCATACAGCAACAGACACTAATCACCTCGTAGTCTGCAGTTTTCTTAAACTACAAATGACCCGAGTAGCTTTTTCAGACTCTAAACACACTTAACAGGACCTCTTAAGAAGCAGTTTCTTTAGAGTCATCTCTTATATAAGCTAGAAATCCCTTCTGATACAGAAACTTTAGCTTAAAAAAAGTTGTCTCAAAAGGTGTGAAGGCTTTCAAAGTATTTTAAGCATAGCGTGACAACTGTGCTAAATTTGGCTTGTGCTGTATATCAGATATTGACTGAACTGTTGTTCCAGCACAGCTCTGGGTACGTGCGTGCTTGTGAAAGACTGAGAACTGGCACAGCTGCTCAGTGCAACAGCCCTACGGACTCCCGCACTGCTTTGTTACTGTTGATGCCAGATCCTTATTTGTGTATGTTGTCATTACTTCAGTCACTGGATCTGTGATGCTTTACACTAGCTAATGTCTGTAAAGCTGTAAGGTTTTTAGCTTTTTATTTTAATATGCACCATCTTTACAAAAGGCCCTAGACGTACAAATGGTACTTCATAACTAACTTACCTGAGAATACCTAGATGCACTTTTCATCTCTCTTTTGTGGACTTGGAGGAAATTATGTGCCCTCCCTTCTCCTACCACCACCAAGCGCTAAAACCTCTAGCCACTGAAATACCCCAATATCTGGCAATTACACCTGGCATCTACCAGTGGAAAGGGCATGGGTGAAAAGCTGTTAACTTACCTGTTACTGTCACGTTCACTTTGTGGGGTACTTGCTCTGTAGTCCCTTTGACCTGTGAAGGAATGGTGCAGTGGCAGATGGCAAAGAGAAACTCTCTTCCTAATGGCTCTTTTAAAAGAAATGGAAATGTTTATGTTTGATGGAGTTGAAGAGGAATTAACAAGCAAAATAGCAGAGTTGAGATATCCTCAGTGGATGAAAGGAACAGCAGAGAGCTGTTCCTTGCGCCTCCTTACTCCTTGTCAGATACTAACCCAAGTCTCCGGAGCATGAGCACACAGCACAGCTTGCTTAGGGTGAACTTCCAGTGCCTCTGCCTGTGTATGTGTTCTTGTTCTGTGGTAGATGGGGAACAACTTAGCCTGGAGGGAAGAGGAACAGCTACTATATGGATGGCGATGTACTATACTTAACAAGCTATCTTAATTCCCAAGTATGCCCATGCTCGTAGTTGTTCTGCATGGTGTTCTGTTTGAAAGGAAGACTTCCATACCTCCCTCGTAGTATCTGGCTAAACCAGCTGGCATGAAAAGTGATAGCTTTTTATTTATTCAAGTGTAAACCCAGGAAACTAATCTTACCAAATTTAATCAGAGCATGAATTCACCCCAGTGTGGTTTCAAATTGAGGTATGCTTCTCTGGGAGAACCCTCCATCATCCAGCTGAAATAGGTACCAGCCGCTACCTTGTACCTCACTCTTGCATTTTGAGTCTTACGTGAAAATGAACAGATAATGAAAAAAAATTCCCATTAACATACTCTCATTTCAGCATCACTTCAAAGAGATCCCCCTCACCCAACCCCCATTATTTACTCATAGAGAAGAAGAGAGATGGCAGCAAGAACCTTTGTATTCTTTCTTACCTTAGAAAGAGGTAGTCCGAGAGTCTGCAAAACCTTTTCATGATCTGAAACCATGTTGGGATGCTCTTCAATAGCATTCACATCTGTTGTTGCCATTCCGCTTCTCATAATTCATACTGTTAGGATGGGAGGAAAATAAGAAAAAGTTAAAGTAATATTTTTTTAATGTGAGGAGTAAAACAATACTTGGGAATTTCAGTACCATAAACTGCATCAGTGTTAAAACATTAGCTTACAAATATAACTGATCTAAAGCATCCTTGTCATATTTTCTGATTACAATCCTGTGTTCAGCTACAGCAGAAACATGATATAGTCACATCCATGTGTCTTTTTATCATTGCTAGCTATGACATCAATTAAATAGGATACATTTTTAAAGAAAATTACAGCAAGAAAGCTAACAAATATTACACGCTCACCTTTTTCTTCTTAAAAAACCTAAATTTCTTTTGTCAGATGTGTGGTGATAGTAATTTCAAAAATAATAATCTGGATAATATTTAGTATACATTTCAAACTTGATGGTTTGAAACTCATGTTTAACTAATGCATTTTTTCCAAAGTATTTTACCACTGATACTACAGTCATACCATGAAAATCTTAAGACTGGTATAGCAGTTTCTGTTCTGTTTAGTTTGGCACTTCAAATGTGTCTGAAAATAGAGTGAAGGCAGGTTAAGCCTTATACTGGAAGCAAAGGAAAACTGCTTAACAAAAGGTTCAAGATGACTAATCTGAATGTTAATGACTATAATGTACACACTAAATTTCGAAAGCTGTTTGTCATGTCAGTCTAAGGAATGAGGCATGCCTTTGCTCCTTTTATCAGTTGCATTGATGAGTTTGTACAAGTAAGGAACTGAAAACCAGCTTTCTTTCTAAATACAATTATTAAATATGTATGCTGACATTTCCTTACAGTTTAGTAAATACAAAATCTGAGAGATGACTAAATAAGTTCAGTTGTAAACCCAAAATCACCTGTAACATTAACAAAGTTATTTTGCAGTCAAAGTGCATGTCTGAGTGATCAAATGGATTCACTTCAAGACAGAGAAAGCAGAAAAGCAGACATCTCATTTCATCTTAGGCTTGTTTATGAAGAACAGATTGAAGAACAATGCTAAGATTTAGTAAGGAAATTAATACCTTTGCAGCATTAGTTTTATCTTTTTTTAGGAAAGGCTTTATCTGAATATCAGCAATGTAAGACAGCTCACTGCCTTTTTAACTGGATTTTATTTTCATGGAAAACACACCTTTGAGTTGGTGGTCTTCTGTAAGATCTCAGCTAAGACCCACTTACAGATATTTGGGATTACTGGTTTACAGTGCTTTAAAGTCATCCGATCCCAGTAACTGAGTTAATTTTTCTTACCCAATCCCTCCCTTGGACTAATACAGACCAAGTGTCTAGTCCTCACTGTCGTGCAGGCATAGCCATCTGGTGTTTCACTCATTCACATACTCCTTTGTAATACATCTGATTATTTAAAGTCTGTGCTTGCTGGAGAAATGGCCAAAGAATGAGTTGGAGCACTCAAGAATTTTAAGTACCAACTTCAAAATTTTGATGTTCTGACTTTTCTTCTAAGGGCACCTCCCTCTGCCAACTGCCTGTACAGTGAGACAATTCCATGTTACGTACATAACCTGAGGGGTATGAATCCCTCCTCCAGGAGGACAGCAGCTTTCCAGGGTAAAGATGGTAGATGCAATGAAAGGACTAGAGTAGTAATTCTTCAGCTGGCACCCAAGAGTGCCAGCTGAACCCTATAGCAAGTGCTTTGAAAGAGTAATTTGTTACTGTCCTATGTGGGAACAACATCAAACTCAGGACAGCAAGGCTATGACCCTCTGGTTTGGGTATCAGCACCCTAGTGCGTGGAGGGCTCTCCTTCCAAACACAATATTATTTAAGCACCTGAAGGTAAGTCACACCACTGGAAATGGTTATATGGTATGTCTGAGATTAAAGCAAGCAGTGAAGCTTGGAACCCCCAAAACCTGATTTTCAGATGTTCTGCAATAGAAATTTAAAAATCTTTGAAAACATTTTTTGACTGAAATATAATCGCAGATACAAAAAGCAACTATTAAAAAAAAATCATGCATCCATAAAACCTGCATCCATAGATTTTGTAATAATAAGATTTCCACAGAATTTTACTATTTCAGAAATACTAATACTAAAGGAATAACTATTTTTAGCATATGTTGTAATTTTTTTGAGACTTGAAGTTTTGCAACTTAATTTTATGATTTTTAGTTTAGTGCTTTGCTAGGTTCTTATTAAAAAGTTACCTGCATTGTATGGTAAAAAAAGACTTTCATATTTGAAGTTTACCTTTGTCCTAAATCAGAAGTCATTTTCAGAAAGTCATAATTCTGTACAAGACAGAAATTGGTCTTTCCAGTGACTCTTGTTCCTTGTGTTACCACTCTACTAAATACTGAATCCTGATTAGTGCATTCAGGTATTATATATAGAGCGCACTTGCAAGCAGCTCATGGAATTTCAATGGTGCTTATATACAAGACTGATGAATGAGATTATGGGCCACAGCTAATGCCTTTCTTCCAAATCCAGATCCAGTTCAGAATCCACCTTCAGTGGTCTCCACTGCAGAGGGGACTGGAAGACCTGAGCAGCTGAGTACATTGGGATGTTGAATGTTCAACCTCGGCACCATCCGTTTTTAAATATCTTTGGTTTAGGTCCTCTCTCTCTTGTTCTAGAGCTGATTCTCTTCCCTCCACACTCTGCTACCATCCTGGGTCTGAAAGGTTCTGTTCAGTGAATGCTGAAGAATAACAGTGTGAAGAGTCATTTTTCTGATCTGCAGATTTGATTGACTAATGTATTTAAAAGATGTTTAATGGGCTAAAATAATGACTAGTCAGGCTTGAATAGGCAATATACTCAACAGCTTACTACACAAAACCAATACTAGCTAAAGCCCCTTTAGGAACAGCTTGATACCCTGTTCTAATACTGCTTACTAGATTTTTCTGGTTTAGTATTGGCTTTCACTGCAATTCAGGTAATCACTTTCATGTAACTATATGCTGTTTGCATTCATGGTAGACAGCAAAAGCTTCTCATTTGAATCCTATTGAATTTTGTGTATAAAAATGTATGGTCCCACTATCAATATAAGAGGCACACACCATATATTTGGCCTAGTTACTCTTCCAGTCATGGTTAAGTTGCTTCCTGAGGTACCTGTACAGAAATAACCAGCTCTTGAATGGCTTTGTTGAAATTAAATTTTCAATAAATAGCTTGTAAAAGGAAGAATGATCATTTTTAATAACTGATGATGAGTTCTCAGGTGACAGGTTTATATATTACAATGGTGTTAAAACATATGGGACTATTGAGTCGGAGTTAAAGAGTAGTCAAATTTACAATATTTATAACTGATTTATTTCTTAATAAACCCACTAAGGCATTTATGAAAGGATCTTTAATATTAAAGAAGTGTTTTTTGGTTTAACAGTATTTTGCCGCCTGTATCACTGCATGCAGTAGTAGCTGGTAAGACAAACTGCAGGGTAAGTTCAGCTAATGCCTTTATAATTTCTTATTGAAGGTCTGGTTCCAAAACAGAAGGGCAAAGTGGAGGAAACGTGAAAAAAATGAAATTCTGGGGACTGTTCCAGGAATCTCCTTAACGCACCCACTTCGTCTATTTTTGGATGTTCCACTGAGTCATTCTCCCTTCCTAGATCACACGTGGAGGTCAATGCCTCTTTCAACATTGGCTGTGCCATCCATGTCTCCAGCCTTTAGTCCTTCAACCCTAGGGCCATTTGGCCTCAGCAGCCTTACCTGGACTTCTCTCTTCAGAAATCCCATTTTAAATCCACATTTTGGAAGGTATAGAATTACATTTTTTTCTAAATCTCAGCACTGTTAAAAAATGCTGTATTTTTATTAGTTTGCTACTCACATGTTCCCAATATATGTGCTCTCATAGATAAATAAACTTACTAAAATGGGGTTAGTTCCTATGTAGGATCACATGAGAAGGAATAGCAAGATTTAGTTTTAAGTCATCCTAGAGAAAACTTAATATGTAATTGCTTTTTGAAGAAAAAATGCGCATGCTTACTGAAATTTTGGTCTCATTGAACTCTAGCCTTCACACATACTGCTGTAATCTAGGTGGCTCCAGCACCATCCTTATCTCAGACTGCCACAGATTATACACCAGAAAGATGTGACTGCAGATAGATGTGGCTTGTAGGTGATGTGACAGAATAAAGGTATTAGATGTTTCTTCTCAGGAGACCAGAAGCCTGGCTACGTATGCACGAGTGACACAGGTCTAGAGAAAAGGATTGAGAGAGATTCCTGATTCTTAAATATCCTACTAAAAGGCAGTCCTTTCCCCTTGGCAGGTGATGTACTCCCAACACCTAGAACGAGCCCACAGCTAGCTTCCTTTTCTTTATAGTCAGACACCTAGAACTCCAGGAAGTCATTTCGGCTGAACCTGCTGCCTGAGATTTCATGCCTGGCAACCTGGAATTTATCAGCAAAGTGCTGCTGCTGCTTTAGTGCGCCCCATAAACTAGGAAAAAAGCACGTGTGTAGTGTGTGTGTATATATGTATAGTAGGTGTGTAGATAGATATATAGATATATATAAAAAAGATAGCACTCTCGCTGAAATTACAGCCTGTATCATAGCTCCACATTGACAGATAGACAAATGCCACTTTTCATATGGAATACACTTGTCTGAACAAATTTGTTACATAAACAGCCATGTAAATTGGTCTTTTTGTGAGCTGGTCTGTTGTTTTCACAGAACAGGCTGATCTGCAGTGTCCAAGGCTTGTTTAGAAATGATTTAGCATTAGGAGTTAAGCAAATGGTTGCTGTTCTAGGTATCTATATAACATGTCTGATCATCTCTCATTTATTTTAAAGTGCTTGGGTTTTTGTTTGTAGTGAGTTTTTTGTTGGTTTGTTTTTTTTGTTTTGTTTTTTTTTAAGGGCAAGACACTATACTGCAAAATAAAGCTAAAATACATTCTGGAAAACAAAATGTACATTTGGAAGAATGTGAAATTTTGGCACATTTTTTTCTAGTACTTTGGGTGGGGGAAGCTGCAACTCAACAGGTACTTGTCCTCAAATAATTCTTCATTTGGATAATATTGACTTCTTTCAAATACAGGTTTCTCAGTGCTTTAAATCCTCTCATGACAACAGCTTCAGTACTAATGAAAACTCCTGGACCTCCATCAGACCCTGCTCTTACTGCCTTCACTGATCCCGCAGCAGTTGAAAGGAAAACGTCAAGCATTGCAGCACTAAGACTCAAAGCGAAAGAACATTCAGCACAAATCCCTCAATTAAACCTCATGTCCAGTCTTACAAACACTAACAAAGAACTTTGTTAGGAGCTCTCCCACAGCCTACAGCCGCAGAGGGGAAAGGGAATGCCTTCTCCAATAAGTAGCTCCTGCTAGAGAGACACATTTTAAAAAAAAAAGAAAACACACACACACATAGAGCCATAGTTGCTCCATCTTCAGTAATGGACTGAAAGGAAATAACCCCACTAAAAATTGGTTTCCTTCATTACAACGTGAAATCAGGTAGCAAACTGGCTTGTATCATTTCTGACACTACAGAAATAGAAGCAGGAACTATCTCATCTTTGTCATTCAGGCTAACATGAATCCGAAGCTTTGAAATTCCCAAACTCATCAGATGCTAGTCCAAAGGTTCAGAATTCTTTGTAGTAGTAACTTCTGTTTTCTAAGCAATTCTTAACTGATTTCTCAGGAGGAACCCTTACATGCAGTACTTGAGACATAAGATTCAGTACACAGTTACTAACTTTGAGGCCATGCTTCATGTTGAAGTGCAAACGCCAGTGAAATCTCACATTTTAGACAGACTTAGCAGGAACAAGATGGGAATTATTTTCAGTATAGGCTTTTGATTCAGAACTGGGTTTGTATAAAGAGTACATTGTTTCAAACTAAAAAGAAAATGGTTATGTTCAAAGTTTAACCTTTGTATATGAAAACTGTATCCTGTGGAAGTAGGTTATCAATGTGCAGTAAATTGTGTGTAGTTCTCTATATATGTATATCAGTAAGTAGCTCATGGCTGTAAATACGAGGTCGCTGAATACTTTTTGCATGCTTACTGGCACATCTTACCAGACCAGTAAGTTAACAGATTACTTACACATTTCCAGACATTTCATGGCTTGAGTAGGTTCAGAATTTAAGTGAAAACTACATGTGAAGTATTAAATTCTTCCTTGGACTGATGTTGGAATGAGTGAAAACGGAGGCCTTGCTGAGCAGGAGTCTGTAATTCCATCAAAGTCCTGGACTCCCTTTCTGGCCTGAGGTCATTTTTAAGTTTTTGCAGAATTTCCCCATCCAGAAAATGGGACTGAGAACTATCTCATCTAGAGGTCTGATGTTTTAATGTAAAGTGAGGGTAAGTAGTATCCTCCTCCTTTTGCAGCTTACTCACCTACCTCACAGGGCTGTTGTGAGGACTGATTAAACAAACATGACACTGTGCAAATGGTAGAGTTCTACAAGTGCTAATTGTTGCTTAGCAATTACAAAAGAAAGGCCAACAGCTGACTACATGTGAAGATTGCCTTTCTCGCATACATAATGAGGAGCCAAGCAAGCTCTGTTTCTGTGAGTTGGTTGGACAACATGGAACTCTTCCACTAATGCTGCCTGGTTCCTCAAGACTATTCGCAAGTGCTTACATTTACACTGAAAAGATTTTGTGTATTTTAGAACTGCTTTCTCAATGCAGTTTTAAGAGACTACTCTTAAGACTACACAGGTGTTTTCAAGGCTATAGTTCTGAGTGCAGAGCTCCAGCTACCTAACTGCTGCTTCTGTAGACTCCACTGAGCCTGCACTTAGGTACATGGCAGAGAAGGCAGTTTGCTGGATCAGACAGATCAGTTTTCCATTTCCTCTGAAATATTAACAGCTTTCACTGCTTTTCAGTCATAACCTACTACAAGACTAGCAGTATTTCTGGGCTCATCGACCTCACTGTTAGCACCGGTAGGAGAAGGTGATGGTATTTTCCTGTTAGGAAAAGCTTTCTACCCAAGTTACACTAGGCCTGCACTGTGGGTCAAGCAGCAGGAGGCTTGGGAAGTGATGTAACCAGGACCTCTCACACAAAGTTTTGAGTGTGTTTCTTCCACAACAGCTATTCGCTTCCACCAATTCACTCATGGCCCAGGCTGCCAACTGGCAGCACAACACGGTATCCACTCAACCACTGAGTTTGTTCCAAATTAACCTTTTAAGTAGGTTAATGGCTTGAAAAACTGTCATTACACAACTCATTCTATTCTGTACAAGCTTCTGTGGCATCTTTCCTTGCCATCAGTGTCTCTCTTGCAATGCAAGAAGGTTCTGCGGGAAAGGAGACTGTGCCACTGTTTCGCTTAAAGTAGCAGAAACTTGTCCTGCATTTGCCATGAGCCACTCAGTAAAGAACTCTGCAATAAATACAAAACCTAGGTATTTTTGCCAATTTTATTCCTAAACAAATTCACCAGAAGCACCATGTGAAAAAACTGCTGTTTTTAAGAGGTCCTATGTAGTCACAAAAATCGTCATCATTGGCCACAGAGATCTCACTCAGGTGGGGGATCAAATTCACAGTCTAAAATTCCCTTGATTTCAGCAGTTACATCGGACATAATTTGAATCTAGCAACAAAGTTTTTCCAAGAACTAGGGACAGAAGTAATTTCAGGGACAGCAATTAACACACAGAGGCAAGTAACTTCACTCATTTGCACTATAACTCATGCCAGAGCTGGGAGCTGTTACGTCTCTCCAGCACACACAGCCACTTGAATGCCGCTCTGGGAACTGCAGAGTTGGCTCCTAAACCCCTGCCAAATTGAGTTGCTCTTTCCTAATTCTCCTTACAAGAAGGAACCTGTCCTCCCAGGCACCCTCCTCTCCTACTGAAACCACAGCCAAGTACCTGTTCAGTACCACTCCCCTGCCAGCGCAAGCTGCAGCCTCTGCTTCTCCTGGCGTTGTCACCCCGAGGCAGGGACAGTCTCCGCTTTGGTGTATATTTATGCATGGCTCTGTGGCTTTAAAGCTACTGTGTCCTATTTGATGCATGACAGAATTGCAAAGGCAAGTAGTACATTGCCTGTTTTGTTACGTTACTGATTAATTAGGAGCTGCCTTTCCTGTGCTATTAGGGCAGAAGATGGTGTCTGCAATCATTAGCATTTCCCAGTGCGTACAGGTATAGAATACAGCTCACTGAAGTTTCATCTAGTTTTAGTTTGAAATGCAGAGAGGTTTTCTTTAAGCTGATTTATTTTTTTTCTCCTTTAATGAATCCTTCCAAGAAATTTCCATTCTTTCACGTGAATTGAAAAGCCAGCTGTGAGAGCTAATGATATTATGAAAATAAATATGTAGGACAACATTTGAAATCAGCTTAGGAATCAGAATGCATCTGTAACCAAAACTCAACAAGCTTTTTATGTTAATTATTGCTATCTTATAATGAATTATCACACCAAGGGAAGAAGGTTTACTTATTCAGTCTATTTTAAATTTAAATTAAGAGGCTTAATTACAACCTATGATGGTCACAGTATCAAAATTACACTTAAAAAATGTTGGGGAGCATTTAACTGAAAACCATCTTAGTTTCATAGCTATGAATGGGTCAACACTCTTACCATGAACCAAGAAGGGACGTTCACTTTCCTAGCTTTTCTCAGAGCAATGAGGAGAGCAGCATCCTACATTCTCAACAGGCCAGCCATTTTACAGAGTTTCTCACACTGAACATTGCAATTATTTCCCAACACTTTATCTTGCCTTATGCACTAAATTCTTTAGTCCTAACAGGCAAAGCCTGCACTAATCTGGATTAAAACTGCAGGATTTGACCCTAGGCCTAGTCTTCTGAATAAAGAAGAGTTACAGCCTAATTCTTCTCCGGGTAACATCAAGATGGTTTCCTGGCACAGATTTCAACCGAAGCAGGTCTGGAGCCCTGGTTGTTTTATTGGGTTTGTCTGGCTTTCCTTCGAGCAAAAATATAGGGGAGAATTTTCAAAGCAGCACAGAAGATCTGAATATACCACCACCCCCATTCACTTTTACAGCCACCAGCCCACTGTGGAAAAAAACCTCAATCTCCAAATTAAACCTCTTGACATTACCTTCCATGTCACAATTTGAGGTGTTTTGTTGGAAGATTCTGCAGCATATTGGTATCTCTTCAAGAAATATTCACAAGTATTTCAATTGCAGTGTGCACATTTGGCTAAATTGTCAGGTTTGTTCTCTGCCCCAAGTTCAGTTCTGATAAAAGAGGACATTGGATAAATTTCCGTATTTCCAGTGACATAATATCATCAGAACCTTGCCTACAAAGAAAGAGCGATTTTGTTGGGGGAAAAAAAAAGGAGAATAATAGGCCAGGTGTTTGAAGAAAAGACAAAGAAACAAGCACAGTAGGGTGTTCTGACTCACAAATCTGTATTGAGAAAGAAGTATTCATGAAGAAAATTAATTTAAGAAGTATGTAGTTCAGGTTTTGAGCCCATAAGTTCCTTTCAAAAACAGATTAGTGATTAAAAACTTTTTTAGTCTAGCAATCTCTTAAACAATTAGCACAGTAATTGGAAAGGGACTACAAATTCAAATCTAGATGGACATAAAAGAGTTTCCCCATAGAGCTTTGCCTTGGTTTTGTGGGCAACTGGCATGCACCTGCCTTTACCATCAGTGGGGTTGAAATACTGAAGAAGTGCTCTGAATAGGGATACAAATGCCCCAAACAGTAATGCCATACAAATTACTTAATTCATGTAAAGTAGAAGTAATTGTATTGATTATGAATGTGTGAGTGACTCCTTTATTTCAAGTTACATGAGATGTAAACCACCAGCTTTCAATGGGGTCCTCACTGCAAATTTGCCAACCGTAGGGTGGGATGTTACTTTTTTTTTTTTTTCCCTTATTCTGAACGATAAATCTGAATGCACTGCCACATGGAAGTAGTGATCTTCTGACTTTAATCTAAACCAGGTAAATAAGAATATATCTGTAAAAATTCTTGTCTCCTCCAGCCAGGCAATAATTTTGCTCTACTTGTTCATCCTGCAAAAGATGACTGAAATTAAAGGAAAAGGAGAATAAGGGAGAAACATTCTCAAACTTCAGATGTCTCTCTCCAAGGCAGAACTGCTTTTTCTTTTTGCTATTATTGAGATTTTTAACAACCTGATGATTTTCAACCCTGTCATTAAATGCCATGGCTCACAACTAGATAAAGCTCAGACTGCAGAAAAGGAAAAAGGGAAAAGGGAAAAAAGGAAAAAAGAAAAAAAAAAAGAAAAAAAAAAAAGAAAACAAAAAGGAAAAGGAGTCATGGGCCCTCCGTGGCTGCAGCTCCCGCCAGGGAGACCAGCTCCCCGGGGCCTCTCCACAGCCGCAGGGGAGCCCCTGCTCAGGGCCGGGAGCGCCTCCTCCCTCCTCCTGCCCGGCCCTCGGGGCCGCGGGCCGTTTCTCACACTTGGTCCCTCACCCCTCACCGCCCGGCAGCGTTCGGCCCTTTCCTAAATCCGCCCTCCCGGAGGCGCCGCCAGCCTCGCTGAGGGGCTCAGCCGCGCCCTGCGGTGGGGCCGCCGGAACCGGCCGGAACCGGCCATGGCCGGCCCGGGGCAGCCCCTCAGCTCCCCTCAGCAGGGGCCGCGCAGCCAGTGCCCGGGCACGGGCACCCTCAGCAGTGATGAGTACTTATAAGAAGGGACGTGTCACAAGCTCATCTTTGCACCTAGGGCTTCCCCGTGGTTTAAGAAATACCTGAATTTAGGCAAGGCTGTTCCTTCTGCCCGTACAGGACCTGTCCGTTCACTGCCTATATGCTACTTCCAGGACAGGACGTGTCCCGGACATCCCCCCGCCCCATCCAGCCCGGAGGGTAGGGCTGTCCCCGCTGCAAAGGAGCCACAGCACAAAGGAGTTAATGCGTTACTGCACAGCAGCGGCAGAGCACCCACGAGAAACCAGCTCTCCCAGCTGCTTGTCTTCTCTTCAGCCCTTGGCCATGCTGTCCCCCATATCCTAACATATTCAGTTTACTAAAAAATGTGAGGTTAACCTTCAAGGACTGACAGTGCTCAGTCAAGCAGTGTGCCAAGGCACAATATCCACATGATGGTCTCAATTAACTTCATTTGTTGGCTGCAGCATTTCCTATATTCCAGCTGGAGAACTGCTTTGCGATGGCTTGCAGAAAGTCACTGGAAGATTGGATGAGCTTGCAAAATCATACTGATGGAATAACAAAACTTTTACATTTAAAATATATACTGAATGGGGGGATTGTTATCTGTTGGGGTGTTTGTTTTTATTTTTATTTTAGGAAACTTACCTTATTAGTAATGATCTGCAGAAAAACTAGGATAAAATACCTGATGTAGCTGTTACAGATAAAAACTTAAGTCTTTGGTGTGAGCAGCATAGTGACATTATTGTGAACTAAAGCAGAAGCAGA